GATTCGCGTTTTTAATTCTCCCTTGAACAGTTTCACAATCAATCACTTTAAATTGATTAGTACAAATCATTCGCTGCGCTGATCTAAATTAATTGAGATTACATAACCGAGAGTGCGTAGGTATACCTGCATAAAGATGATAAATGCTCCCAGTCTTTTGCTCTAAATATACAAATTAGTAGGTATGTGTTGAATGCTACTCTACTGTTAGATAACAACCATGTACGTACATAGCGAAGTGAATTGTGAGAATATAGTAAATAGGTATGTGCTAATTATTCGTTTAATTGCCAAACATTTGTGATGAAGATTCATAACTACTTACGCAAGTTACTTGCTTCCATTCTTACTTCCTGCGTTATTGTCTTTGTACCTGTAGGATTTTCACTTGGAAGATTCTTATAAAATATTCAACTCGGCGCTTGTAGAGAGTTTACTGATGAACATCGTATGTAAATTGGCTGTAATACAATTAAATCTGCTACGATTATGATTGATCCTTAAATGTTACGTAACTTATTTATAAGATTGTTAGGTAGACCCACTTCTTTCCGTTTCCGTCGCAACGGTGTTAGTAATACTGCCAATTATATAAACCATCATTTAACCATTACAGCATAACAGCTCACTTTATGCTACCATTTTGGTTAACTAAATTTATATTTAATTGAAGAAAGACATTTCGTAAACATCGCCGACAATCGCAATATGTGAAGTCGATCCTAGAGGAAATAACGTGATATAGGATTTTACAGATCGAAATTATTACTTCAATTATCTGCATATAGGTTTGAATCAAGACCGTACAAAGCTTGGTATTAAAATAAACTCAATTTATGTACGTTTTCTAACCGAGTTGAAGGATTTGATTTTAAGATTACAGTGGGTTTGTGAAAAAATGATCATAATCACTCTCATGTTCTAAAAGGAGGAGATAGTAACTTATATTCAAAGAAAAGGTAAAGTGACCACTAAATCAATGCGCAGCTTTAGTGCCGAAATTTGTTTTTTTTTTTAATTTAACATTGAATTTCATAGATCAGGGAACGATTTTGCTCGAAATTTGTAAATTTTTGCACACAGTTCTTATTGAAATGCCGAAGAAATCGCTTGAAATCATTACTCGAGGGTTTTCGGTTTTACTCCGACGCCCCCGTAGTGCCATCCCTGAACATCCCTGGTCAATTTCGAGAACAAATATGAACTTTGCGCTCCCGAAAACCCTCGAGTAACGATTTCTAAACAATTTCTCCAGCCTGTCATGCATTATGTTTATTAAGGAGCTCCTAGCGAATTTATAATTTTGCGGTGTCTGTCCGTCTGTCCGTCCGTTAGCACGATATCTCGATAACGAATGGACGGTGAGGCTAAAAGATATTTTGGTAAAATTAATTAAAATGTAATGAAATACGAGATGACAGTGCACGGGTGTCAGGTACTCTGTGTCAGAGGGTGAATTTTTTAAGTGCTGCGTTAAGATATCGGGAACCGCGCTGGACTAGTGGGTAGAGAAGAGAACCTATTATGAGTAGCAGGTATAAGCAATAGCATAGTTATGAATCAGGGCCGTAGCCAGAGTGTAGCATTTTGCGTTTGCCCGCTCTTAAAATTTGCTTAAAATAACACAATGTAGCATGCTCATCAATAATCAAATTTTCTTTAAAAAATTAACAAAACAATAGATAGATAAAAACTTCAACCATTTTAAGTGGCGATATTAATGAAGATGTTTCAGGTTGCAAGATGGATTTAACAGTTTTCTTTTATTAAATAACGCCAGCGCTTTTTCGAAAACGACATTTTTCGATTTTTTTGCCAAAATTTCGCTATTTGTAGAGCTACAAGAAACTTTGAAAGGGAAAATTAATCAGCATGAAAGTGTGTGTAACTTTGCTCATTTAAGCGACTTTGCATCTCGTACGAGATCCCCATGGTGACAATGAAAAAAAACACCCTGTATTATCATCATTTTATTATCTTTTTTACCACCTGCAATACGTATAAGAGAGATCCGAGGAGAGATCTAAAAATGGCCTCCAACTTTTTAAGTCAGTACCATACACACATTTCTTGGGCATCGAGTTTGGTCTTTTTCCCAAAAAAATTGGTGCATAAATAAGAATTTAGATTGATATTGGGAAATAAAGTGATGGGTACTAAAATTAATTCTTGATGGTTGTCCATCTGGAACCATAAGCTTTCTTATAGCGAAAACTAGAAGTCGACACGAGTTCTTCTTCCCAAGAAAATCGGTACATAAATAACGATTTTGACATTTTTTGTGAACAAAGATACACATGGGCCACTTCTTGGGCTTTCGTAATTGCATTTCCGAAGAGAATCGATGCATAAATAACGATTTTGACATCCTTTCGATAAAATATTTTGGGCGCCATAAATAGACATGTATCATTTCTTAGTCATCGCGCAATCGACTTTGATCATTTTCCCAACAAAATTGGTGAATAATAATTTTGACCAAATTAGAGAATAATAATTTTGACCAAATTAGAGCTATAACACGTGATGAATGCCAAAGTTAATTTTTGATGGTCGATACGAGGTCTAGGAACTGAGCTATAGTATACGGAACGACACACATGACACAGACGGACGGAAATGTGAAGTCATAAGCGCTCCACTTTCGTGGATTGCGCTAAAAACGAATCCCTTCAGCAGAACACAGCAAATTTAATATTTCGCCTGCCCGCTCTGTAGATTTATTTGCCCGCTCTTAGTAATTAATCTGGCTACGGCCCTGTATGAAGTGATATGCGAAAGAGAGGAGGAGGAGCTAATAATGGGGAAAGATTTAATTGCCAGAACCGGGAATAAAGGAAATTTGGTGGAAATAGAAAGAGGAACACACGATAGAAAGTCAAGAGATAAAAAATGCAACAAAGAGGGGAGTCCTTACTGAAATTAACAGAAAATACCAAAATATGGAGGGAGATAGGAATGCGCAATACACATATATGGGAGGAAGATGGATTCTCTTTATAACCATAAGAGGGTGAATAGGAGCCACGCCATTGAATAAAAAATTGAGTTTATTCAATGGCCACGCGTACTTAGGCCTCAAATTCGGGCCCTTTGTACTACCTCCTTCACTAGAGTCGTTCGACCTCTCAACGTCACTCAAACCATCCCACACGTGAGATGAACCTATGGTTTTCAGAAGGAGAAATGAGTCAATGCGTAGCCATGTCCGGCCAAGATACCCCTAACATGGGTCGTCTCAATTGGACATTCACAATGTATGGGGTGTCCCGTCTCGTCGTCTATGTAACATCTTCTACAAGAAGGGGAAAAGAGAAAAACACATAGTGGGAGAGAAATACAAATAGAAGACTGGAAGCATAACACTGAATGCAAGATTAGAAACAGAAACGGAAGAGAAGGGGATGTTGAAGGAAAGGAAACACAAATGGGATTTAGAAAATGGAGGAAAACGATCGACTGTATAGATATACTCGTATTACACAGAATGGTGTAAAAGGAATTGGGAAGAAAAAGGCGGATAGACAAGAAGTAGGAGTCTGAAGTGTTTTGGACATTAAACAGCTTGGGACAGGGATGCCCACTTAGTCTAACCTTATTTAATTTTTACATAAGGGATGTGGTGAAAATATTAACACAGGGAGGAAGCGTGATGGGAAAAAGGAAGATATGGTTCCTGGTTTACGCGGACGACACAGTATTATTGGCAACATAGGAAAAGCAGGTGAAGCAAGTGATATGGGAACAATAGAGAAGTACTGAGAAAGAAAAAAAATGGTATTGAATGTCGAAAATCGAAGATGATAAGGTTTGCGAAGGATGGGGGTAAAAATAAGGTGATAGAATGGAAGTGGAAGGAGAGAGGTAGAGAAAGTAAGAGAATTTAAATACGTAAGATACCACATTCATTACGTTGCAATGGGGCAAACACACAAAATAAAGGAATTGAGAAAGATAGAGAAGTGGCGATGAAACAGGTGTGGGGAATAGGAGAGAGGAATTAAAAAAATGTTAGATTCAATAAACACCTTTTTGATGCAATTGTGAGAGGGGCGCTGATTTACGGAACGAAGGTATGGGGATGGATGGAATGAATTTGAAGGAATACAAAAAAGGTACTACAAATGGGTAGTAGGACTTACATATGAGAGGAGAAAATGAAAATGGAGAAGATGGTGACAGAGTCAGGGCGCAGAGCAGTAGGATTCAAGGAAATAAGAGAAACGAAAAGTGAAAGTGAATTGGTTAAAGAAGGGTTAGCGACGAAGATGAACACAATAAGGATTTGGTGGGAAAAAGAAACTAAAGGCACGGATACGGAAGTGCAGAGGTCTAAAGGAAGAGAGAAATGGGGAAACGATGGAAGGAGAACTTACAAAAAGGGGCAAAGATGTACAAAAGTTCAGCTGCGGGGAGTGACGATCGAGAAATCGAGAGGACACGATCAGGTACAGAGAGCTGATAACGGAGGGTGTGCCGAACGCCGAAGTATCTAACAAAGGGAAAGAACAACATTAAAATATATGCAAGGTTCATATGTGGAAATGTGGCTCTCCTCAAACTTAATGTTATCCGTTACAGACTGTGCAAAAAACAACGGTCATTTTATCATTTTCATGGATAACTAGATCGAAATGAAAATAATTAAAAATCTTGATTATCTGAAGTAGTTTGGCTATCTAAGAACCTTTGTAGAGAATTTAATAAGGGGTCATATGATGTAATATTATACATGAGGTTCCATATAAAAAGTCACCATTTTTGTTATCTGAAAAATGCGATGTTGTTTTTTTTTTTTTTTAGTTACAGATTTGGATTTTGGTGATTTAACCGTCTTTCTCACTATCAAAACAAAGAAAGTTAGCAATAACACCGGCTTCATTTGAACCAGACTGTATACTATGAATTTATCAAATTGCCAGCACACACGATGATACGTATCCCTGATTCTAGGCAACTTACATTACTCAAGTTAGGGGAACGAGTAGGCCTGCACGTCGCACGAAGACGCACTTTTTAATTGGCATCACTGCATAATGTACATAACTTAAAGAGCACATTTTCTGCTCCCGGTTTAGAAAAATCTAAATTAAAGTTGTAAATATTAGTTGATAATTAAGAACAGATTATTGTAGTTAGCCCAACCGATCATGTAAGTAACTTTTCTATAAACATTGAAAGGAGTGTTCTTAGAGGTTATGTAACATTACTTTGCAACCAACTTCTTCATTCTTTTAAGTATGGGGAACACAATTGCATCCGCCGAAGCAGCAGCCTCACAAATTGTGTATCCAAACACTTACATTTACAAACCAGCGATCTCGGACAGTAAGGAATATGGACGGTACATTCACCACAGTTCAGGATCAGAATGCCCTGTTAAACACACGAAGAACTTCGGCAGTCAGTGCCCCATTCAACATTCAGAAGAAGAGATAAATCCGTTGAATATGGTAAGTATGGATTTGTCATGCGAGTTTTTAAGTTGTGCCCTTGTTAGATGCCCCCCGCAAACCAAAGGCCAGCACCGGACCAACCGTTTCCGTTGCCTACAAATCGTCAAGTGTCCACTATTCCGAAAGCTATCGTACAAGAAGGCGAGGAACCCTTCTGGGTGTACCCCAGCCCGCAAATGTTTTGGAACGCTATGTTAAGAAAAGGGTGGCGGTGGAAAGACGACCAGCTTAACCCAAAGGATATGGATAATATCATTATGATACACAATGCGAATAATGAGCAGGCTTGGCAGGAGGTTTTAAAGTGGGAGGCGCTTCACTACAAGGAGTGTTGCGAGCCGAAGTAGTTGTCTGTTTTAGAAGCTCAGTTGTAGGGCTCGATTTGTAGGTTGAAAAGTTTCGGCGGTAAGGCGACCGAGTACAGTCCGAGAGCTCGAATACGACAGCTGCTGGGGTACGAGTTACCTTTCGACAGGCACGACTGGATTGTGGATCGCTGTGGGAAGGATGTGCGCTATATTATTGACTATTACGATGGTGGGAAATTGGATGATAAATACCAGTTTGCTTTGCTCGATGTTAGACCTGCTATGGATAGGTAAAGCGATTGTTTGCTGTGCTCGTATTACAGTTAATGTTGTAGCTTTGATAACATTTGGGATCGAATGAAAGTTGCATGGTGGCGGTGGAGATACAGCCAAGAACCACAGTGAACATTGCACTCACACCTTGCCGGAACTAGTCAACTCTCCACCTCACGCTGTTTGTAATAGATTTTGTGGATAATAAAGAATTTACGTAAAAAAACGCCTTTAATTCCCCGATAAAGATTTAAAATGAAGGGGTTTGTATCTGAAATGATGCAAATGGTATCTATATTACCAACCGCGATGCACACCCTTTAAGCACGCGAATTTGACAGAAGTTTTTTTCAGTGGACCAATGTGATTATCACGTCTATACGGACCAATATCTCATTCTATCAGTATTTGAAATAGTATTTTTATACATTTCTACGTGTGAATTTTGCCATTTGTGTTGTGTCGTGATTTACAATCGTCAATAATTTGTGTTTGCTTGACAGCTCGCCATCTTCCTAAACCACTTGTTAACACGGCGTGTTTATTATTAATTTTCAAATTATTGTTGACCGCTGCCACTTATACGATTCAGTGGGGTTGCCTGTAATTAGTGTTCCTGCTCCTTTGACAAAACGTGGCCGTATCATGTTCGGGTAAGTCCCATTGTTTATGTTAATTTAAACCGCAAATTTAACGTGCAAACTGTCGGCTTTTTAATAAATACGGCCCTACTTTTAAATTCCGTACGTTTTATGGGTCAATTTCGACGTTTTATGCGTGTACAAAGCTTTTGTAAATTATTCAAGCCTTTTAGCTACATTTCACTAATAACCCTTCGTTCGTAATTAAATTGTAATTGGGTCCAAAAGTGTTTATTTTGTTTAATGGTTTTAATTTCGAAATGGGGTGGGTGTAACAATGCATTCGGATAAAATAAAATCGATAATATGAATGATTTAGTTCAATTTACGTTAAAAGCGACGCACGTGTAATTTGCACTTTAATTGCCAATCAAATTCTTTAGTTTATGTACGCGCGTTGTCTAAGCCAATCGTAATCCAGGGATTATGAATTAAATTTGAATCGCGCTCAAACCAAATCATTACGCGACTCAACCATGGTTGATGGTTGTTATCTTAAATTGCTTTGTATTTTCTCCCCTTCGTAGACGTCTATTTGTAGATACCTACATATCAACCCCCCGTTTTACTTTTCAGACTTCCTTGTTATATATTCAAGTATTCTAAACATCAGAAAGCACAGGAAATTGATTTTCTGTTTTCTAAGGATAAGTAGTACTACTCTGGAATGATTCTAATTTTCATCATCTAATGAATGTTGTGACAGTAGGTAGGTATTTATGTAAATATTGGCGGATTATAAGATAATTGTGTCATTCTGTAGAGCTAAATTTCAAATTGAAAATGCCTACATATTCTCTATTTCAAGCTCAACAGTTCGTTTGATGTTTTTTCGAGTGTTTTTTTAGGTTTTGCTGCCGCTGTCATCCTATTAGACAGCTACTAAGAAAATCATCCTTTAGAACTTGTATTACTTATGTGACCATATGAGACAAAGTTTCGAATAAAAACCGGCTAAAAGTGTAGTACAAGAGACAGTAAAATCAGATTGATTTTTAGCATATTTTTCATAGAAAGAAGTATCTATAACTCGCGAATTCCGCCTGTCTGACCGTCCGTCCGAGGGTTAGACATTACAGCACTTTTCAGTGCCAGGAGGTGAGTGTACAAATAGTAATTAAAAAATTACACTAATGTCATATGTTTGCAATCGGTAAATAAAGGGCCACTCAAAACTGAAATATACCTACAGGGTGTCCCATTAAAGATATTAAAAACATAAATGTCGTTGGGCGCTCCCTGTATACTTAATTCGATCAGTTACTACATTTTTAGTCGGTACAGATGAAATACTGAAACTTTTTTTGTGTTTCAAAAAATTAATGAAAATAGGTGGGGGGGAGGAGGGATATACTGACTGCATTCCTTCTGAAATACTCTATCCGGGTATTATTTATTGTATTACTCAGAGTTTTCCTATACCTACCGTTTAGCGCTGAATCGTCCTGTAGGTAAACGGTATCCAGAGGATTACAGTGCTTTCCAGAGCCCCTTTAAAGGGGCAAAATCTCGGAAAGTTGCCTAAAATGCATAAAAAAATCATGGGAAGCTGTGAAAGGGGTCTGATAGATCGTAACAATTCTCTGAAGGGGTGTTGGTCGTTTAATGGGTGACGTATGTCTTGGCGCCAGCATGCCGGCGATAACGAGAGGTAATTTCATCTTAATTAGTTTTACGTACCTTAAACTGCATAATCGAGATGTGTTGTTGGAATGAAATATTGCAGAAATACTAAACGCGTGGAACCGCGATGAATGGCTTAACTCGTGTGTAACTCGGGGGTACAATTTGCTCCCAAAAAAGATGGTTCAGTTAATTACTGTTCGCCATGTTGAAGGGGCGTTAATTAATTCAAAAAAGGTAGGTAGGGATTAGTCCGGAGAGAGTTTGTGAAGATATTCGCTGGTAGCCGCGAGCCAATCCGTTCGGAAGTAGCCAAACTTTGTTTTTAGCGTTTACAGTGAAATCATAAGAAATTTCAAGTTCGAACTATGAGCAAGATACAACAAAATGTGGTCCCGCACCAAGTGATATTTCGGACATCGTGCAAGTAAAACAAAAATAAGAACTTAACATTGAATACACAGATTCGATCAAGGGCAAATTAATTAATCGTACATTCTTTGCCACAAAGAAATTATTGTTAACTTTCGGTGCCAAAAGGGATTGACCTCTGTCGTTAGAACTTGGGAAAACAAAATTTTTAAATGCACGTATTTGTCAAAATAACAATTATATTTGTAGGGTGTCCTATTTTGATTGGTGAGAGATTTTCCTTTTGTGAAAGTTTCAAAACGTTCATTGAAATAATGACAGTTTGTAGTCGGCAAAAAGGGTTATCAATAAACTGTCTTAGTAGGGAAACATTTCCTTTACCTCCATTTAATAAAACAGAAGTTCAATGCCGACGAAAAATTGTCCAGAAAGCATGAATTCCTAGAGAAACCATGGAAACATCTAAACATTGTCTCTGCAATAAAGGCCGTGCAAGGTCTGTTTTGTATTAAAATCATTGTCTGCTAAAGGATATTTCGGTATGACGTATGAGCTCGGGTATGAGATACAGTGTTTTTAATTTATATAAAATTAAGGGTTGCTTATCTAAATTTTCCTAAAGTATATTCGATTGACGTTAGCAATTACCAAAGAAAATTTGGATTTTGTTCTTAAAGATACCAATCTATGGGCTAATTGAAGCCGTTTATGAACTCATTCATAATGGATTTGCTAAAAAGTTAGTTTTTAGCGTTAGTTTGATGAAGTTCCGTAAAGAAACTACCCATGTAAATGGATTCCATTTGATTAGGCATAAGGTATATTTGCCGTATACCGTTTTTGTCTTTGATATTGAAGCAGGAGTAGTTCAAGAGAACGTGAACACCAATTAGATTTATTTGGGTTTTATTTCCTAGTAAGAGAAGTGTAAATCTATTTATCTCGTCAGTCTTGTGGTGGAAACTACGTCATGTGGACGTTTTATTTGATATCAGCACCTATAATAATGTTGGGTCACCCTGCATGTGTTGATTTTCATCTCTTTATTCAGAATATACACAATTTGGATTATGTTATTCGAAATTGAAGTCATTATTGATTTTATTTTGAATTATTTAACTAATGTCTAATTTTGTTTAAATAAATGCCCTTTAATTTTATTTTATATTTGCGCGTAATGTTTTTCAAAAGTTTCCCGTGTTATCTCCGGTCATTGCGATAAGAGCGTTACCCCTGCGTTTCAAGACAAACGCGTGTTATTGCAGATGTTTTTTCGTCGAACGCAGGTGTTTCATTTACTCCCAAACGGGCAGAAAATTAATGATGGAAGAAGGAACGGACGTTAATCGTTGCCCTTTTGATAGTGGAAACTGAAAATGAATAGTAGCAACGCGATGTATCCTTCTGTGGCTCAAACTTCAAATACGAATATCTCGAACACGATTTGTCACACGAGGTACTTACAAAGAAAACATGGAACGTATGGACATGGAGATCTGTCGGTGAAATCGAACATTTTTAGTACCTCAAAAAGTAAATTTATATTTTCAAGATTTTTGCTTTAATGCTAATCATTTTTCTCATAAGTTCAAGATCTTGTTTGAAATGAAGTATTTTCAAGCTTCTCCCATTGTGTCCTGAAAATTCTTCCCTGAATGGAATGGCAATGGATCCACACATATTGTGATATTATGTGGAGCAGTAAGTACAGGGTGGCCAACTAAGAATGCGAGGTACTGTATCTGAGAACCTATCCATCGTCTAGGCTTGCGGTAAAAAAAAAGTGATTACTAAAACGGCCACGAGAAAAACCTGGAAAATATTTTTGAGCTTCTGAAATGGCCGCTAGGGGGCGTAACTGCGATCCACCTTAGGGCTACAAATTATATAATAAAAATAATTCCGGAAAAATTAGCTTAAAAAAATAAAAATTTGATGGTATAAAATTTTCTTTGGCGTAAATTTTGGGTTAGGAACAAGATATCGAGATGCGGTTTTCGCGAGCTTGTTTAGGCATGATTTAGCTACTTTTTCATGAAAAAAAATCAAACCAACGCATTTAATTTTTTTGAGAAAATTAACCACTTCTGTCGGAATGTGAAAAAAGCCCTCGAGCGGCGATATGTGAAACTAACGAAACTTCAAATATTATTATATTTATAGCCGAAGAATAACTCTTTTCAATTAACCCGAGTTTGTTAAAATCGGCTCAGCCGTGTCTTAGATACAGGGTGTTCTTAACGGAAACCCTTGAATACCACCCACCACTTCATTTTTAGAGATACAGCAATAATTGTCAAACAGAAAAGGTTCAGATTATCGTCGACTTCAAAAACCTGGCATTTTTTTGTTAGGTTAATATAGCGGATTTCACAGAAACATCACTTTTTAGATTCCAGATTGCAGTTACGACCCCTAGCGGCCATTTCAGAAACTTAAAAATATTTTCCAGGTTTTTCTCGTGGCCGTTTTAGTAATAACGTTTTTACCGCAAGCCTCTACGATGGACATGTTCCCAGATGCAGTACCTCGCATTCTTATTTGCCCTTGACAAACGCTGCCGTTATTTCAACTCTTCATTTTTAAGT